TGGGTCAATCGTTCAGCAACAATGGACCACATGTTTTCTATCGGCGAAAGATCCGAAGAGTGAGCCGGACAGGGAAGCAATGCAATCTGGGGATTGACAAAGAATCCTTGGATAATGCGTGCCACGTGTGGTCGCGCATTATCCTGTTGAAATATGGCTGTGGGCAAGGCCTGAAGGTAAGGAAGGACAACTGGTTCCCACACCTCGGAGATGTAGCGCTGGCTGTTTAAAGTACTGGCAATGCGTACTAGAGGAGTGCGACAGTAATATCCAATACCTCCCCATACCATAATACCTGGTGCAGGACCAGTGTGGCAGTGAACAGCGCAGCTGTTCAGCATCCTCTCTTCATGGTGTCTCCAGACTCGAATCGTGACTCGTCAGTAAAGACAATTTCATTCCATTCTGCTTTCCACACCCTTCTTTCATCGCACCATTGGCGGCGGAAACGTCTGTGGTTCTGCGTCAAGGGTAGACGAAGCAATGGACGTCTTGCGGACAGTCCACTCTGCTGTAAATGGCGTTGAATGGTACGCGCAGACACTGGATGATGCGTTATAGACTGTATGTGCTGTTCTGTGGTTTGTGATGTGACTGAGCGATCCGTCACTGCCATGCGCACAATGTTCCTGTCATCACGTGAAATGGTGAACTGAGATGGATGCGATCGAACACGTCGGTCCCGTTAGTACCCCCCTGCATCCACGGTCATATCCGCATACAGCGTTGGTTTATCCAACACGACTACGATTTCCTGAAAGATAATCCACACTCTCGGTAGGCCACATCTTCCTCTGTCGAACAGAGCTTGAGCAAAAGATGATCGCTGTTTATAGGACATAATTCGTTTTTTTGAAAAACATCACAGAAAAAATACAATTGCGAACTTGAAATCGTCGAAAACTCCAAGCCTTATATAGCGATTTGAAGTGGCCCGCAGACGCGCGTGTGTGCGTTGCGCTGAAATTCTAATCATTTGCATATCTCACCTCCGCTAATGCATGTTGTAAATTTCATGTTATTTGCATGCTTTCTTCAAGGTGTTGCATTTACGGTGGCCAGCAATGTAGAAAGCATTTAAATAGTTCTTCAGGGAAGGAGAGAGCCATCTCATATGGTGAAATACGTTTCTTTATTTTGCTTTCTCTAAAATATAGTTGAAATACGGAAACGGATAAAAGAAAGTCTACTGTTTTAAAAACATAATTTCGTATTTTTTAAAACTTTATTATTTTAAACTATACAACTTAAATTAACTATATTGGAGTTATTATTTGAATAATTATTCTGCTATAAGAAAACGCATCGCAGTTTAATTATTATACTTCATATATTTCGATTCTCATGAAACGATACATAAGTATTTACAGTCTGTAACATTTAGATCATGGTTATAATTGCACATACAAGCAAGACTGTAAGACCGGAAAAGAACTTTGTTGTGCTCCAAATTTCACACGAGTTACCCTCCCTAAATTTTTACATTCTGCAGGCAACACTATAAGATATTTCTCTCGCGTTCGTAGTGTTGTGGTTCGCACGCTCGACGCGTATTCAAGAAGTCCGTGGTTCGAGTCTCGACAAGGACATCACACACTTTTTACGTCTCTCCAGCATCAAAAATCCAAATGTCTCTACAGTGGAGCCAGAACTAAAATAATTGGTGGATGTTGATTCTCCACCATCAGGATTTGGCGAATTGGTCCCCTAATCCCCAGTGGCCCTTTAAAAGGGGGGGGAGTATATAAGGCATTTATACCGCCTTCCTAGCATACCTTCATGGTGTAATGGTCAGCACGCTCGACGCGTATCCGAGAGGTCCGTGGTTTGAATCCCGGCGAAGGCACTGATCATTTTTCACGTCTCTCCAGGATCAAAAATCCTAATGTCTCTACAACACACGTAACATTTTCGATATAGATTACATATTTTAATAGATGTACGGCATAAGTCTGGACATAGGAACAAAGTCATTGATTACAGAATAGAATATGGTAGCATTCAAAACTAAATATTCTTCTCGAAACTAATTTAGAGTCAACAGAAGATTTGGATCATTAGAAACGATAAAACAATAGTGTGAGTGTAATTAAAATGTGTAAAACGGCTTTCGTTTTGTTAAAATGTTTGTACAGTGCATTTATTTGTTGTAACTTCTGAGATGTTAAGTAACAAGCAGTAAAGAAAATAATAACATAGAAAATGTGTGCACTGTGCAATCAAAATATCATTTTGATGACATAATTTGTACACTCATGTCCAAAATTATGTTTACATGCATAAATTCAGGATTCTCAGAACTTGACTTATAATTAATGAAATTTCGGGAAGATACAGAACATGATGACACATAAATTCAAAGAAAAAATCAGATCACCTATATGATAAAATTGTAGCATGAAACAAAAAAATGGTAATAAGTGTGACAAAGAGAGTTAAGAAAAAAAGGAATGATTCGAAAAATAAAAGTACAATTTAATATGGAATATGATCTCCCCTGACTTGTACACACATTCCCACAGTTTTAAGGCGGAAATAACTTTTTAACCGTTGGGGATTAATCTCACTCTTCCAGCAATGCGTCTTCAGCATTACATCTTAGGCGGGGCTGTAGACGTGCAATGTTTTCCAAGGTCGTCCCATAAGTTTCATCGGGTTAAGGCCGGAGGTTGTGGCCAGGTTCGTAATGTCTTCACTTCAAGAATTCATCACGAGGTTGTCGAGGTGGACGGGCATCTCCTCATAAATAAAAAAGTCAGGCCCTATGCACCCCTGAAAGTCTACATAGGATCTAAGACTCATCCGAGAGATCTGATCGTCAAGACCGCTGCTTAAAGGGTAGGGCGTAAGCCATCGATATATTCCCCCCTCCCTCACACTCCACTACCGAACGTCAGTTCAACAAGTTCGAGGTATCATTTCGGTCTGATGCTCTAGATGTAAACACGTTTAGAATCACCAGGTAAACTAAACCGCGACTCATCAGTAACGAGAATGGGACCAGTGAGTTCAGTTCAGTGTTGTTCTTGACGCAACAGAGATCCCTCTTTTCGGTGAAGACAGTAAAACACATACCTTGCTTTTGGCATAAAGGCCTTCATTAAGCCGTCTGTAATTGTTGCCATTTGCAAGTTCAGGCGGCGGCAAGCTGAACTAACTGGCGAGAGTGCCTTTGTTCCGACGGCCGTTAATGCAGGATACCGATCTTCCCGAAGCAGTTGTCGTCGTTCCGACCCGGTCAAGCTCTACAACACTTCCATAATTTGAAATGTTCCATAGCTGAGAGTTGTCTGAAATTCGAAGTGGCTGTGGCCAGATTGATGCCGCTTACGTCCGATAATTCGCCATTTACAGCTTTCAAAGTATTCGAAGCCAAAAAACCGTGAGTCCTACACATGAAATCAACCGGTATGTTGCGGAATCCTCAATATTCAGTTTGCGCAAAGCGTTGATCACCTTGGATAAATAAACCTGAGGATATACAACCGTTGACTTTGATGGATAAGCTAATTAGGAGGTTCCAACTTCCAAATACGGCTCACATGATTCGATATTCATGATCTCATCATTTGGGGTATGTAAAGATAATTTTGGACATGAGTGTACATGCTGTGTCTTTGCTTATCTCGGTATGTTAGGTACACTTGTATATCATAAATTCTTTCCTGGGCTATAGACATTAACTTAAGTTATATTAAACCTTCTCTAGAACTTATGGAAGCTTATTTCATAAACGTTTCTAAATTAAACCATACCTAATATATAAAATAATAATTATTCTCTTGTTGATGGAGTCTGCTTTAAAAGATGACTCATTGGGTAACAGAAGACGCGATGTGTTGTCATTCTTCGTACTCTGAAACAGATATAATGTATTTTTACATGCATTTATCGCGATGGACATTATTATTTTTGTGTAAAGAGTGAGTTTAACCAGAAGTGGAACTAGAGACTTGTGGAATCCAGGACTACGTATAATAGAGCTGCTATCTTTACTGATCCTCCCCAAACTTAATACTTTTTTTCTAGATATAGTTGAACATTTTCTCAACAATTAAAAAAGCTTTATGCAGAACTGAATGAAATATTTTTTGATAAATATCTCACTGATGAGTGATATTGTATACTGTCTTATTTCTGTTTAATCCTTTAAAGTAAAAAAAAAAAATAAAAAAAAAAACATTATGTCCGAAGCTATTTCATGTCATAACAATGCGTAATATGAAACTCATGTAATATAGTTAAAATTAAATGTTTACTAGCAAATAATTCAGTGTATTTATTTTTACACTTAAATTACAAAATCTCTATTTTCTTACTGTTAAAGATCATCAATTATTTTGTACTCATTATTTTGTACCGGTTAATTTGTTTTAGCCCGAGTATTCTCAGCTGAAAGTAAAGCTAAACTGGAGAGATTTTCCCGTTTTATAACTGCTTCTCAAATAATGATTTAGTAATTTGAGTTTTGAGAATTGTTTGAGAATGACTTGAGCAAGAGCCATTACAGACCTTCTATGCAGACTGCTAGAAGATGATAAGTACATGATACGCATAACGCATACTGCTTCACATACTATAATATGCATACTTGAATGCTGCACATAGATCAGGAACCCAAGATGAAAATGAACTGTGATTTATTATCAACAATCCTGCCGATTCTTTGACCCTATTGATTTCTTCAAGCCACCTCTTTAAAAGACGCCTTAACGGAAAATAACTTGTTCAGACATTAGGATTTTTTGACTCACCGTGACTCGAACCACGGACCTCTCGAATACGCCGCGAGTGTGCTGACCACTACACCATGAAGGCATGCTAAGAAGGCGGACGAAATACCTTATATACTTCCAATTTTAAGGGGCGACTGAGAATTAGGGGATCCAAATTGTCAAATCCTGGTGGTGGAGGATCATCATCCACTACCCTTTTTTAGTTCTGGCGCCACTGTAGAAACATTAGGTTATTTCGAAGAAGGAGACGTGAAAAATGAGCAATGCCTCCGCAGGGATTCGAACCATGGACCTCTCGAACATACGCCGAGAGTGCTGACCACTACACCACGAAGGCATGCCAAGAAGGCGGGAGAAATACCCTATATACTCTCTCTTTTAACGGGTGACTGGAGACTATGAGACCCAATCGCTAAATCCCGGTGGTGAAGTATCATCATCCACCGCCTTTTTTAGCTCGGGTATTACTGTAGAGACAATAAGTTATTTCGAATTAAGAGATATGAAAAGTGAGCAATGACCTGTCCGGGTCTCAAAACTCGGAGCTTTCGAATACGTGTCGAGTGTGCTGACTACTACACCACAAAAGCAGGCTAAGTATATGAGTGAGTGAGTGAGAGTGAGGTTATTGGCGCAAAACGAAAGATGACTATAATGCGCCAAACACGAAATAGGATGATCAAAATTGATGAAATCAAAATAATTTATTAATAAATAAAAACAGGTAGACAAATGTACCAAATCCAAAGATGAAGTCATATAAAAATAAGTTAAAAGCACACATTAAAATCCAAGACATAATCTTCAAAACAAATTACATTAGGTAATAAGAGCCAGTCTCTTTTAAATAATAAAACAAATTACAATTGACCTTTCTTCCGAATAAACGGTCGAGAGGTAAGTAACAACTATTAAAATATTTCTAACGAAGACTATTAAAACATGGACACTCAATTAAATTTAACGAACTGATAGACAAAAATTAAAATTCAAACAAACAGGCTCATTCTCAGCCTTCAAAAGGTAGTTATGTGTTACTCTAGTGTGACCAGTTCTGTGTGTGTGTGTGTGTAATTATGGCAAAGCCTCGAGGGCTATCTGCCTAAGAGGAGGGATGCCTTCGTGGAGGACTTTCTAAGGGAAACTGGCTCGTATACACGTTACACATGGGGGAAAACCACGAAAACGCCCATGCAGCCAGCCCGTTCGCGGGATTCGAACCTCGGACCGAACTACCAGTGTTCAGCGACTTTACCGCTAGGCCACTGGTGGGCCATGTGACCAGTTCTGAGGCGAGTCAAAAGAACTTCCTCCTTACGATTTCCAGCGAAATCCAAATGCTCAATTCTAGGCTTTACATTTCTCAACTTGTTGTGAAGCAGAATGTCCCAAATTTTCTGTCCTTTTTTTTCGGGGGGGGGGTCTTCCCTTTGATGACACAGCAGATGTCTCTAAAAGTGATGAGGCGACTGGACAGTTCAACAGCAGATTTTGCTGCGATATCTGCAAGCTCATTTCTCTTTATTCCTGCATGTCCAGGAAAACAGCATTACAGGATTTCATATCTTCGAATAGTTAACTTTATATGAATCTTGAGAAAATCCATTACCACAGGATGCTGAGTCTTCGTGTACTACAGAAATTAAGTGTCAATAGTTGGAGACCAACAAGAAAAGAAAACTAATTTGTAAACAATTTTCTGTCAGCGAAGCTCGAAGCGGCCCCGAAACCACTTAAAAGAGTTAAACATTCAAACCGCCAGAAAAACTCGAACTAGTCAGTGTTTTGTTGCAGCACGAGGTCTTCAAGACATAATCTTTATTCGTACCAATGTCTCATTTAAAAGGGATCAAAGGGATACGTTTAAGATGATATCATCTTATTATTCAAAGAAGCCAAGAAGAATGGAACCGAGCACTTACAGACGAATTCAGATATAGCCTGAAATGTCATTCTAAACTTGTGTTTTGATCAAGGAATACACATCATTCCTTCCCTTATTCATAAGAGATCTCGTTCCGACGAAAGCTGTTTCATGGTTTGGGTGGATTTATAAAAAATGCCTACATAACCTTTGATAGAAATTTTGTAACCGATCGTAGGTGCTTGGGAGATGTGTTGAAATTCTTCGTAAACCTGCTTAGAAGAGCTGCTGGCTCAAAAGTTTTATTATTTATGACAATATTCGTCAGCATTGAGCATCTCTGGTGTCAGAATGCTTACAGAAAGATGATATTACTCGAATGTATAGACCGAGACCAGATTTGAAGCCGATTAAATGTGTGTGGGATGCTTTAGGCCGTTACACTGGCTTGTAAAATGCTTCTCTAAGCTTTTCAGCATCTGAAGAGTGGATGTACCTGAACGTGGGTACAAGGTTTCAAGAAACATTCAGCGGTTTGGCAAATTCTATGAAATGAAGATAAGAGGTTTGCATTTATATCAGCAATGGCAATTCACTATAATAAGAAAAGAAGATTTGAGGAAAAACAGGAGGGATAATTTTCTCATTATTTTTTAATTTCTACGAATTTTATTTTAAATTTAATATTTTGACCTTAATCAACTGACAGACATGGTAATTTATGCTAAACAATGCATTTGTATCAATTTTGGTTTAAATCATTTTCAGTAAGTAACTTATGTAACTTAGTTTTATTTCTGTCAAATGTCTTTAATTTTACGATAAAGGTTTAAAGGATATATTGAATCAAAAGCTCTGATAATAGTAATTGTTTTAGATTTCTTAATAAATACCATATGATAGGCATTTAAAAAAGGATCGTGACTACAGTATGACACATTACTGATAGGTCAATACTTTATCTAGATTTTTCGACCGAAGCTATATATACAGCCCCTAAGTTCTGCTTCAAAGAATCACTCTTCTTTCAGGCAGTGAGAAACTTACCGGAAAAGACATCTATTGACCAAATTCGCAAGGAAGATTTTAACTTTATGCATGGACAAATTTCGACAGCAAATGGGAGGAAACTTTCGACTAATGCTGCGATAGAAGACAAATTCTCCAGACACTTTTTTCCCTGAGACCAATCTGGAAAAAGAAGGTGCATGAGAAAGATGGCGAACTTTCTTGGGAAAGAACCGGCTGACATGTCAAATAATCCCCACCTAACTTTGACAGGGTGTCCGCTTTTCCATCTTCTCAGTAAAACATCTTAGTCATATGAGCAATGAGCAACGAACGCGCTTTTTATCGTTTTTCTGTTGCATTATTGATAGCTCAAGATCAAAGTTTATAGACATTTCTCTGTAGTCTGACAATATAATAAAATGATAAAATGAGAAATGGGAACCTATTTTGGAGCCATAAATAACAAAAACTTCCCTAGGAGCTCAAGACTCAGTTACTAATTATTGAAAGCTGAAAATAAATAAATACACTTAAATATTAACAATAAATAACAATATATATATACATGTGTGTGTGTAAAATGACAACAAATTTATCTTTAATACATACTTTAGGCCACCAAATTGCGCCATAAGACCCCCATATACTTATAAATATATGTATTTATAAATTATAATTATAAATATTAAAACATAATAAATTGCACTGTAATAGGAATATACATACAAAATTCAATACAAATACTTCATTTTAGTGCAAGTTTTAATATGAAATGTATTATTTAGAATATGATACATAATGAACTCTTTGAGGGGCAGGAAAAGGCAATTAACTTTTTCAGTAAAACTCTTGTTTCATTTACTACTAGCTTTACCCGTGGCTTCGCTCGCGTTGATGTCCTTAAATGTTTCTACTTCGCGTGGATTTTAAAAATACACTCCGCGTAAAATTTCAAAATAAAGAACATTCGAGCGCCTTAAAATGATAAAACAAAATTTTTTATCGCACATAGTAAAATGTAAAGAATATCAAATGTAAATGCAAGTTTTTAAGCAATAATAACACAAATATTCGACACGAATGAAATGATCTTTAAAACATACAAAATAAAATATTAAATATATCACAAAAGTCGAAATGTTGATAATAATTTCAAGTCGATAAGTTAATTAGAAGTTATTCACTTTAAATGATTTTCCACATGTAAATCTGTGAAATTTTGACTTTTCGCCAACCCAACGGTCGACCGGATATCAGCTCCCCCCTCCGTCATTTTCAAATGGCAGTCTCTCAACAAAGAATTAATAACAGCAAGCGGAGTATTGTTTCATCTGTGATTAAGCTGGAAATAATTAAGCGACAAAAACAGTTACACCAACATTGTTACTATCATTCAGAGAGCGACACAAGTTTCTAAATTTCGAGATATTTGGATAATTAGATCAAAAGTTATAATTTTTATCACCAATTTATTCGACCCACACGGGAAAACTCAAGAAAAAATCACTAATATCATCATTGAGTCGCATTCAAATTAGCGTTTTCGGAGTTTTTAATTAATATCTCAACTGATTAAAGTCGTACGAAGATGAAAATGATATCGATGGGTACCGACGAATTTTTGGAATCAGCGGATATGTGTCTCGAAATTCAACTAACCGCCGTTCCATATTATTTGTGAAATTATAAATTGGCGCGTAGCCAAATCCCTTTAATAGGGAAAACCCCAACAAAGTAAGGGGAAAATGTAGAGAAAAAGTGGTTTTTAGTTATTATCTCCGCTAATTAAAGTCGTACGAAGACATTTTATAGCCTATAACCTTTTCTAAAATATCGAAAATATTTCTTGAAAATTTCATGATGATCGGTTAAGTAATTAAGGCGTGAAAGTGTAACAAACACACAAATAAACTCACATTCGCATTAGTAAGGATAAGGATATTAGGTGTTACAACGAAATTATTTGCAACAATTACACATATTTTGTCCAAGGCGCGTGAAAAAATGACCACTTCTGGTGGTTAGTGTCAGTGACACCGCCCATAAAACACATCCCTACAAATCAGTCTCTATAATACTAATGGAAACAGTTTTTCTCTTTCAAGCAGAGTTGCATGTGCTGCATTCCCACACTGTTCAAACAGGCTTTTTCTTGGATTGTCTTCGATGGCTGATGCTTATTTTCTCTCAGACGAATTCCAGCATCAACTACTGGCTTATGTTTCTTGATTGCAACCTAGTGAGCTAGGGAATTTCAGAAACGGTCAGTTCTGAAAACCTCTCACACGAGTAAGACGTTCAATAGAAAAGGTAGTTACTGTAGGTAACCACCGCCCTTCAAAAAGTTAATCACAGTACTGTCAAGTATTGTAGTATATCCTCGCAGAAATACTAGATATAGTAATAATACGCATTGAAAAATAATCAAAAATGTATCATAGTTTCATATATCTTTCCATCGT